ATAGAAGCGGGGTGGCGTGCGACTGCAAGTCCTGCTTCTCGAAAAGTAATCTCGGCGACTGCGGCCCGGGGTGCTAGAAGATCTCTCATCGGTTGGGGAGGGGCTCCTTCGTTTGGTGTTGATCTTCGACTTGACCACGGCCACGCTCCTCAAAGCACTGCGACTGCAATAGCGGCGACTGTCGGGACTCGGAGTCAAGTTGTAGAAGCTAGACTTGCCTCTGCCAGTCCTGGGAGGAGATGGGGTAGGAGATCCCGAACGGTGAGACGATTGCTCAGGCGAACGGGACTTTGTTTTGAAAGACAAATGCCATCTAGCTGGCGATGAATCTGGGGATGACAAGGCTGCCTTGGCCTTAGCTTTAGCTTCAGTGGCCGTTTTCCCAGTGATGCTGGGCTCCTCTGAGCTAGATTCTTCGGAGGAAAAGGAGCTGCTCTCCTCGCTGCTGGCACTGCGTGCACGTGCCCAGCGGCGCTGCCTGTATACCTTGCGCTTCTTGTGACGAGTCTGGCCAGGATCAGAAGTCCGGGTAGTATATGTTGCCATTTCGGGCGGGGAAGCAAGGCCACGTGCGGTCTGAGGTTTTCTTTACGGCCTTCTTTAGGTGTTTTCTTTAGGGGTTTTCTTTGTGGGTTCCTTTACGGGTTTCCTTTTTTAATTTATGTTTTATTTTAAGTTTTCTTTTGGTTTTTTAGTTGTATTTTTTTTTTCGTGAAGGACTTTTGACACTTAATAGGAATGCCCACTTTCTAAAAAACTTCAACTTCAAGAACGGAACTGACCACTTGGCGAGTTTAACAGACTTTGCAACACTGTGCCACAAGTCAAGGCAATTCTAGAAAGCGTTTTGAATATGAAGCGCGTTTTTTTACTTAAAAATTATATTCTAGTTCATTTTCCTGTACCCTAAATCATTCAAATAACCCAAATATCTACGGAAGTAAGGCATATCTAACCCCCCGTTTTGGCTTATCTACGGCTATAATTGGTTGGTCAATTAAAAGCCTTCCCTGGTCGGTCGAAGCTTATTTTTTCATTTATTTCTGTTTATCAAATTCAATTAGCCAGAGCAAGCGGAATAAGGCGGAAAACACTTGGCAACAAAGTTGCAACACAAAATAAAATGCGAAATACATAAAAAGTGGATGCACTTTATGCGATGTAGAGTTCTAACTATAGAAAAATCCGTATAATTAACTAGATAAATTGGCAAGCAATTGGCTTGTACAGATCGTTAAGACAATTCGCTAATGATCTGCCAAGACGACGGCTAACGATCTCTCAACTACTCCTCCTTCTCCTTCTCCTGCTTTTTGGCTAATTGGCCCCCCTGAAAGTGGCCATCAAAGTGGTAATTACGATCGTTCCTACGAAACGGCGATGAAGACATCACAGAGCAGGCACTGCAGCTCACGAGAAGGGAACTGTTTCCAGCTGTCTTGTTTTTTTGGGGAGTTTTCAATTAAAGTTCCATTAACGCTCCGCGACACACACAATTATCAAAAATTATATTTATGCTTATGACATTTCCGGCAGAAGAGCAACTCCTCCTCCTCCATCTCCTTTCAGATTTTTTTTCTTTGGTCGCGTCTCGTGAGTCATTTTCATTTATTTCGAGACAGCGTCAGACGACAGAAGATCAAAGCGGCATATCCATCACCATATCGAGCACTCGCCGAGGGATCTGGATCGGGATCGGGATAGGGATCAGGAAGGAGTTGTTGCCTGTGTGTGCCCACTGTACACAGGTGGAGGCGCTGTGTGGGGTCGCAGTGGGTAAGGGGAAGCCTCTAATCTTATTTTTCTAGGTTTGGAAAATCAATAAATGTTATATATAATAAATTAATATTTAATAATATATATTATATATAATAAATAAGTATTTATATATTTTTTTATATTTTATCTTAACATTTTCACATTTCCATATTTCTGCTTCGATTCCGTTGTTTCAATATGTTGTAAAAACCAGGGATTGCAAATAAGAGTTATGAGTAAAATAAAAGTTACTACCAAAAAATTGAGCTGGAAAGATAAAAAATTTAGGTATCCCATAATTTTTTAAGGAGAGTTCAAAAATAAAATAAACTTTTATAACCAATTTTTATTTTTTAATTGCGCTTTAACTCTTATTTTTAAATTTTAATAAAAAAGTTGTAGAATAATTATTATTTTTCAATTTCTATATAAAAATTGAGTTATAACAATTATTTGCAATTTTTAAAATAATAATTGAAAATTAAAATTATTCTCCAATTTTTTATTTTAAAAATTGAAAATAACAGTTACGTGTCAATTTTTATTTTAAAAATTGAAAATAAAAATTGAATCGCAATAACTTTCCAACGGAGCGGTATATCTTAAAGATTTATATATGTAATTAATCTACGCTTCAATACCTTTCGTTTGATGTATATATTGTGGTTATTGCTTATGCATAAAAATATGCGTATACGTACTGCTTATTACATTCCCCAAACAAACAAGGATACTAAAATACCTTTTACAAATGGAAAGCCCAAAATGCGGATAACAAAAATATATATAATAAATTGTCACCTTTATATTTAAATATTATTACCTGTAGCTGGGTAATTATCTCAGTATTCATGTTTGTTTGTGAAACGGTGAATTTTTTATTATATGCACTTATGTTCATGTACATATTTGTGTACATGCAACAACCACAATATATACATCAAACGAAAGGTATTGAAGCGTAGAATCATTATATATGCCAATCTTTAAGATATACCGCTCCGTTGGAAAGTTATTGCGATTCAATTTTTATTTTCAATTTTTAAAATAAAAATTGACACGTAACTGTTATTTTCAATTTTTAAAATAAAAAATTGGAGAATAATTTTAATTTTCAATTATTATTTTAAAAATTGCAAATAATTGTTATAACTCAATTTTTATATAGAAATTGAAAAATAATAATTATTCTACAACTTTTTTATAAAACTTGAATAATAAGAATTAATTTCCTATTTTTTCTATATAATTGTAAAATAACTCTTATTTCAAAATTTTTATTATAAAAATTATAACTGTTACGATCCCTGGTAAAAACGAATAATAAGATTATTCCGATAACAATTTACGTATTTTCCAACACTGATCAGTATTGGTATTAACACAAACCAGTTAAAGTGTGAAAATTTCAAAGATTTTATCTTTAAAGAAATATGTTCATAAAATATGAATAAAATTATAAAAATTAAAATGAAAAACTTATTTAATTCATGTTTTAAAATTAAAAACCAGCTATAATATATATTAAATTTTTGTATAATTATATAAATTATGTTTAATACATTTGTATATAATTATATTAATTATATAATATAAAAATTTAAATATATTGCAGTTTATTTTTAACATGCTTTAAATAAGTTTATTGTTTTCCTTATTATTCTTTAATTCATACTTTTGTATTTTGCATTTAAATTATTATATAATTATATATATGTTTTAAAATTATATAATTAATACATTTTTTTAATAAAATCCCCCACAAAAAAATTGGGCTTACAAAGGGTTAAGCTGTAAATTCTTTTTGGCCAAAATACACACACTGACGACATAGAATTCCCAGCTCCTCAGCTCACAGCAGGAGATCTCTTTTTTTTTTATTTTTATTTTTTTTTTTTTTTTTAGGCTAGGAAGGCGCATACGAATCCGATCTCTCGGCCGTTACGAATCCCCACAAACTGCTACATCGGGCCAAGCAACAAAAACAACAACAACAAGTCAAGACAAATTGTCTACGGGTTGAGGTCTTGCTATTGGCCTCCAGCGTGACGATGTCGGGTGCTACTGGCGCCACTCAGCGCCAAGAAAACCAAGAAAAAAACAAAGAAAAAGAAAAACAGAGAAAACACAGCAGCACAGCGAGGGCCACAAGACAGAGGAGGAAGATGTGGAGCCAGGTGAGGATTGGGTGCAGAAAAACAGACGCACAGGCACAGGCTGGGGCTGAGGCAGGGGTTGTGGTTATGGCATGTGCCACCAAAAACCAAAACCAAACCAAGCATTCTGTCTGCGAATTGGTTTGTGATTTCAAAATTCTCTCTCTATTTTTTTTTATAATTTAGATAGAGAATTTATTTAATAATTTATTTCTTAAAAGAAAGTTGTGAATAAGGAGAGAAAAGAATAAATAAGCCGAATATTTAGACTAGAAGTCCTTGAAAAAGTTAATTTAACAGAAAGTTAGTTAACAGGAAGTTAGTTAACGGAAAGTTAGTTAACAGAAAGTTAGTTTACAGGAAGGTAGTTAACAGGAAGTTAGTTAACGGAAAGTTAGTTAACAGAAAGTTAGTTAACAGAAAGTTAGTTAACTGAAATTTAGTTAACTGAAAGTTAGTTAACTGAAAGTTAGTTAACAGAATCTGTTAAAAATTCAATTTAAAAACAAAGCACATATGAGAAATGCATCAAAAAATCATTACAAATATTTAAATTATTTGCAATCTAATATCCTCTTTTTTCAGCTGTTTAATTATCTCCTTTCAATTTCAGGGCTTAATTATTTTACCATTTCTAATTACTTTTAGACCTTAAAAACCTTTTCCCTGGCTGACATTTTGCTTTTATTTGCATTTATTAGCTTGCTTGCATTAGTCTAGTGCCTCATTTATGGCTTTGGTTCTGGCTGAACTTTGTTCTCAAAAACGCTTTTCAGTTAACCAACCTGAGCCACCTGAGCGCTTTTGGCTCAATGAACCTCTCTCCCTCCCTACTACCTCTCCCCTACTCCCCCTGGGTTGACCTCGTTTCCACGTTGTTGCTTTTTCCTGGAGTGCCGGAGAAGCCTTTTAGCCAAGGCATAAAAAAAAATAAAAAAAAAATATGAAATGGAAATCTGTGGAGCCCTCTTAGCACTCTTGCAGAGAGTTGGGGGAGGGGAAAAAGTGTGAATTTTTCCAGCTTTCTTTCATATTTATTCTTGATTTCTTTCCGCCCATTTAAAGTTCATTTGCTTTTGAGCCTACCTTGCATAGGGCCACGCCCGTGTCCAAGCGATCCATAAAGTTATCCGCATTGATGCTCAGCTCCGGGTAGAGGGTGCTGAGCCACTCGGCGAGATCCTCCTTCATGGCCTCCAGATACTCCTCGCTGGACTTGAAGGGCCTGTAAGGCCGAGCCTCTAACATGGCCATAGTGTCGATTTATTTTTCGTTTTGTTTTCTTTTTTAAATGGAATTGGGGCTTTCGCTTTTTGTTTAACAGTTTTTTCGTTGAATTTTTAAGAATTCTTGATTTAGAATTCTTATCTAGCAAAATTTCGTTGGATTTTCGTTAATATTCGGGGGCATTGCGTCTTTTGGTCGGCTCGAATTAATTCGGAGAGTTGTTTTTTTGAGCTGCAAGAAAAAGAGTTATATATTTATTATTAAATTGGAATTTAAGAATTAAAAATATCTAAGAAAAAATAGGATTTAAGGACTTGCTTTCCTGCAAGTTCTTTCCGTCTTTGTTGATGAATGCCAGGCAATTGCAGATTTGCCAGCAAAATGGCTAATAAATTATAAAAAACAAAAATGTTTGTGTTTTTTTTTTTTTGCACAAAATAATTCAACCCCGCAGAATACATGGAAAATAACAACAACGGCGAAAATTTATGATTGTGCCACTGCAGCTGACATAATTATGGGACACAAAACCGCAACGGCGGCAACGGAGACCGCCGCCAGCGGCAACAGCAGCAACAAAAAGCACGGCTAATTCAATACACTCAACAAAATAAAGAGGAAGTCATAAACGAAAATATTAACAAAAAAAAAAAATAATAATAATAATAAATAAATAAATAAATAAAATAAGAATCCTAAATTAAACCCTTAATTCAATAATTAATTCCGATTTTTAATACATTTGGGAAGTCCTTAAATTCAAAGTTCAACTTTTTATTTTCATTATAAATTTTTAAATAAAAGGATATTTTCCCAAGAATGTATTGCTAATAATTCCCAAATAACTATTAAAAAGAAAAGTTATTCCTTGAACAATTTAATTTCTAATTTTAAGCGAATTTTTATATTTCTAGTTTAACTTATTTCTTATTTAATAGCTGTTAATTTGTGCACTAAAAACAAAAATTAAAATTAAATAAATAAAGAAGTTTAAATTAAGATTCAGTAAATTTGTGGAAAGCAGCAAGAATTTCCACAAAATTACGTAAGCTAAATTTAAACTCCTTTAATAACTTCATTTAATTTTATTTTTTTCTGTGTACAAATAAAATCAATACATAAAACATAAAAAGTGACTCGCGGCACAGTCGTCTGTCTGTCGGTTACTTGAAAAAGCCTCAGACTCTAAACTCGGCAGCGGTACCTCCAACCTCTAGAGATTGCTATTGGACTCGGTGTACTGGGCGCCAGGTTAATGCCAGCATTCCGCTCATTAAAAAACTGGCACCTACTACGATATATAATTTTGTAAATATATATATTGTTAAGAAGTGTATATGTATGTATATTCCAGCAACTAATTAGCGGTGAACTGTGAACTTCGAGGATGGAAGGAGAGAGATTAATGTCGGGACGTTTATCGAATTATCGTTGAATAAGGAGGATGCCGCTAATAAAAAAAAAATATATATAATATATAAAAACAGGATCCATGACCTTGAACAAGTGTAGTGCCCCGCCCACGAAATTAATCCTCGTCGGAGATTAAATTAAGAGGAAATCGTTGAGGAAACTTTTGTATTAAAAAAAAAATTTTTAAATGAAAACTTGTAAAAAAAAAGAGTTTTTTTTATTTAAAATGGATTTTTAAAAAACTTGTAAATATTATTATTAGTTTTTTATTAAAAATTTTTTTTAATGGAAAATTTTAAAGAGAGAGAAAGAGAGGGTTTTAGGAATATAACTAAGGATTAAGGATATAATTTAGTAGACTAAAAAAAGTATATAAATACATAAGTATTTAAAAATTAAATTCTGGTAAATATATTTGCCAGATTAAGTTATCAAAATATATTTAATATAATAAAATTATAATAAACACATTTGCTGTCAGATTATTTTGTGATTAGGTAATTAGCTTTTATATGCTAATTAATTATATAAATTATACGTTTTTAATATGAAAACTAAACTATAGTTGACGTATTTATGTTTATGAATAATTTTATAATATTATTGCTAGTTAAGGTTACATATTTTTAAACATTTTATTTATTTATTGGTTCAGCACAAAACAGTGCAGCAATTACATTATTTTCAGCTGAACAAATAAATAAATAAAAAATATAAAAATATATAAAATTAACTAGCAATAATTTGTTTGTTGGCACTAATATTTTAAAAATTAATATAGAAATTCCAGAGATAGAAATAAAAATATATAAATCGTAGAAAATCATCCATTTCCAAAGCAGTTTTCTTAGGTATTTTTTTCTTTTTATATAATTTTTTTTAATATTTTATCTACATTGTTTAATTACCCTATTTCACGTGCTGTATAGCTTATAAGAACCCATAATAACATTAAACAACAAAAAATATGTAAATAAAACGTGTATATTTCTTTATTGGCATCCAAGCTCTTTCTGTGTCTTAAAAGTTTGTACAGTTTTTTTTTCTTTTTAATATTGTATTTGTATTTTGTTGTATTTGTTGCATTTACTGTTTTAGTATTTCTTTTTATATATATATATATATTTTTTTTTTTTTTTACCATATCTTAACTGTATGTTTGTGTATTTAATTCAGCTTCGACTTGGTTGCATTAAGTGTGTGCCTTGCGTAACCCCGATTGGCCGATGAGGCTCGAGACTCTGGGCTCTGGTCTTAATTAAGGCGCAACAGCGTTTTATTTTTTTTGGCCAACACTTACGTGCATGTTGGTTGGGGAATCCAAGTTGGATTTAGAGATTCAAAGATCGGACAAGTACAAAAGGCGCCAGCCATATGTGTGTGTTGGCTAATTTGTTGGCCATTGATGAGGGACAAGCAAACGGATTGCCAACCCGACCCCGGGTGGTGCCCAAAAATTCGCATCTCATCTCCCCCGGATTTCACTTTTACATATATATATATATATATATATATATGTATATATACATATAGATGTATATTGCCTAGATCGATCAGTGGTTCCAGTCAGTGGTGTATTCACAAAGTATTCACATGCCACGCCCCCCTGCTGACTCAAGAAAAAAACAAAATAAGAGTCGCAAAAACGCAAAAAAACACATTCGAGACAAACGAATATGCAAATGTTCACTTCGCTGGCCTTTTGTTCGAATGATTAGCGGTATTTTTGAAAGTGAATTTAATTAAAAAAGTGCCACACACACTCACACACACAGAGATAGTTTGCATAGGATGCGTCTCCATATAAGACTAACATTCCATTCGCAATCTCCATGTTGTCGTTATTATACCATTGCCAGGGTATTATAATTTTAGTTAAAAACCTTGTAAGAAATTATATGTCGGGATTGCTTTTTGTACCCAAACAGGGTATTATATTTGGCAACATTTTTGATTTCTTAAAAATTGTATTAAGCAGATTTGTTAAGCCTAAAAAATACAACTAATTCTAGCATTTTCTGAGTGGTAAACCAGCTGAATGTTGGATTTAAGGGTAAAGGTAGTGTGGTGTGTGGTAATGTGATTGTGTGGTGGAGTGCCAAAAATTCATTGAAATTCTATTCGTATATTATTAGTTAAATTATAAGGTAATAAATCGAACTCTATTCTAAAGGTACACAAATTTTGGCTTACCTCCAAGTCTCCTCCAAGTTCTCTACTTGTTTTAGGCAATGCATTTCTTTAAATACTATTTCTAGCCTCAATCAGTGACACTTATTTGAAGTGTGGAAACTATTGTGTAAAACCAATGTCTTATCTAACCAAAAGGTACCAGATGATGAAATAATTTAATAATAAACTATAGGCAGAGCCAGAGATAACTAGGAAAGATTCTCAAGTGGCTTGGTTTGCTTGTAATTCTTTTATAAGAAAGAAAAGTATCTATTTGGTATAGTAATATATATTTTTAAAAGTCTTTCAAAGCTTGAATAAATTTTCAATAAAAACCTTAAACCCTTTTAATAAATAAGTCCCCACAATTTCCCACAACTCCGAACTATTTTTCATATTTCTTTGTTTTTTTTTCCACCTCCATCTTCACAATGGAGGCTCAAAGACAAGTGTGAATTGCCGGAATGACAGTAAAAGTGATCGAGAGTGTGAAGCCGATAACAGCAATGGCTATAAAAACAGTGAGTATGAAAAATATGTTATAAAAGTAACGTATTCAATTCAGTTTTTGTGTTGTCGCTGTCGTTGTTGTTGACTTTTTCAATTAACAATTACAAACGTCGCAGAAAGATACGGAGTTTGTATTGCTGTTGCATTCGTATCTTTCGTATTTTGTATTTGTAGTTGGGTCATGCGATTGGGTTTCCCAACATCCATAGGTTGTTTTAAGGGGAATATATCGATGGACAAGAGGCTAAATACGATACATAAGAGTGGCAATGGAGAAATATATACGAATATCTTTTACAAATCCTAGCTAAGACGGATAAAGTTGTTACTGTAAGATCGAAAGCAATGGATTACTAATAGTTATAGGGATATCGATAGGCAAAAGTTGATAGACAATAAACGATACATTAAATAAATGGAATGGAATAAATGAAATAAGATAAATATGGTGGAGACATCGCTAAACGATAACGCTAAATACGATTTAAAAATAAAAAAAAAGGAAATTTTGTTGATAGTTATTTTGTAAAAAATAAAGCCTAATTTGGCAAAAACATACATTTATTTATTTTAAAATTTAAAAACTCCTAGAAACCTTATTATATAATAGCCAGAATATAGTCCCAGATATGTTTAGTAGTTTTTACTGTATTTATTAGTAATTTTGGTTAAAAGTACTGATAAATACAGTTAATATTCATTACTGGAGAAGAGTAAATTAAATTTTAATATAAACTAATTATATAAACAGTGCAAACAAATCTCAGAATTGCACTTTTTCCTCAGTGCCTACCCTAAAAGGTTATCCTCAATCAATTTAATAACACATCTCACTTCTCCTACACCCCTCTCACAACGTTTATTCCCCATATATGCATAAACATATATATATATATATATGTATATATATTCCCCCCATTATACATTTTTCTTTGCCATGCCACCCAAAACGTTCAATGACACTTGAAGCGACAATCAAAACGATTTCATTTCGAGGCAACAACATTCAATGGGGAGTTTGCTTCACACTCCCACAAAATAAAAAAAAAGGCAGAAAAAAAAATACTCCCATATATGTAAGTACGATATATGCAATCTGAACTTGATGCACTCGCATCTGTCAGAAAATTTTCAGT